AACATCTTGCTTACTCAGCCTAGTCAGGTGATCAGGTCATATGACCAAGGATGAGGTCATATGAGGTCATGCACAGCAGGTCACCTGACCATCCAATCCTTCCAGCAGGTTCCAGCACATGCCAAGGTATACCAGCTACTTCCATGTCATAAAGGCTTAGTCATGTCTCTTGACCAAGCAATGAGCTGGTGCCCTGACACAAATGCAACAACAGAACTGGAAGATCCTTCTTCTTGTCGACAACCACAAGGGGCACATGTGGGATCCAGCAACTGTCACAAATGTCTGAGTCGAATTCCTTGCCCCCAACATGACTGCACATATTCAACCAATGGATGCAGGTATCATTTGAAACTTCAAAGCAAACTATAAGCAAGCACACTGTGAGCAAGCACTGGATCAGGAGATGGCAGGTGTGCTAGATATCTATTGCATCAAGCAGAAGGAAGCAATGGGGTTGACACGGATAGCCTGGGAGGAAGTCATGGTTGAAATAATTGCCAACTGCTGGCGTCACACTCGGATTGTCTCTCCTTGTGGTCTGGATGGCTGCCTTCTACCAACTGAGGAACCTGCAGCACCACCTGAAGACTATGCAAATGATGACAATCTCTGTGCAGCAGTGGAATGGCTGCATATCTCGATCCAAGAACTTCAAGACCATGGTATCCTCCCTGAAGCACACAGAATGGAGGTCAACAAAATGCTCAGTTTTGCAGCAGAGGAGAACACAGCACAGGAGCTAACAGACAAGGAGATCATCGAGCTGGTGCAGGTACCAGAGGAGTCCGAGGCAGAAGAAGAAGAGGAATAGGAGCATGTTGAGCCAGTAATCAGCCATCATCAAGCACTTGAGTCAGTCAGAGCATTGTCCCGCTACTTTTTGCAACAGGAAGAGCCAGAGTTTGCCCAAGCATACCGGTTGTGCCCACCCATGCTCCGTGCCATCCGTCTCTCTGTTGTCGAGAACATGCTCCAGACATCCATCACGGACTTCTTGTAGATAGCAGACCTCCGGATGACCCCCTGTACCGCATCTCTCTGCTTAGCCATCACCCCTCAATACCAATCACAATTCCCTTCCACCAACGACATCGTTAACCTCGAGGATTACTGTATATGCACAGGAGGAATAACCTGCAGCATCTCCAGTCTGAGTGCCAAGTACTGAAGGGCGTGCGGCTCATCGAGAGCGCGCACATCCTCAACACTCTCTGCCCACCGTAGTATGTGATCGATATATTCGCCTGCGCCAGACAGATGTGCAACGCGGGCACAGGTTGCATGCAACCGTAAGAACTCGGGGTTTAGGACAGGCTGTGTCGCAGGGTCGGTCGTAGTAAAGGTGACCGGGGTGCGTATCGTGCCGAGGACCAAACTGTCGTCGCACTTGCACAGTCGATACTGGTTGGCTATACCCTGATAGTTCAAAATCAGCCCGAGCGACAACCACAGAGCAAGCATCAATGTCGTACCGTGGGTTCAAGATAAATCGCAAGATCGTCCCACAACTGGTGGAAATTTGCCTCCATCAGTAAGAGATTTGACGGCTGGTTCATTTGTTCTCCGCCAAGGTCAGGCAGCATCGGATTCGAAAAGTGAGAAAGCACCGCGACAACGCTTGCAACGGCTTCGCGCTACAGAAAGAAAATCAGGTCCGCCTGGATGCTGAGATGGAGCACCTGCACACCTTGTCGCTTTCCTTTGGATAATCTGGCATTTCCGTGAATAATCCCTTGGGAATGATGTGCGCAACTTCGGTTGGGAATTGCCTTTCGCCAGGACGTGGCACGGCAAGACCCTTTACCTTGGCCCGGAAATCGACAGCACCTGTCAAGCTGCATCGATAGTTATCCCGCTTGCGGGTCTGTACACGTACGAGTGAGATGCGCTGGGATAGGAAGTCCATAGTCGGATTCACCAGTTCTCGCCCCGCCTTGTAGCCTCTTGGGGTTGCTTCGAGAGATTCTTTATACAACTCGACCGTATCGTCGAAAGATGGTCTTGACGGGTGCTCGCTAGGAGCGGGAGTCGTTTGAGGTCGCCTGACTAGTCAATCGTGAAGCTGACGAGTAACCGCAGAGGCTCGAGGAACGGCTTACACGCCAGTATGAAACTGCCCTAGCGCAGCTGTGCAAGGGCCATCCGCCCTTGCATGTCGCTGCAGCCGTTGATCTCTCGGACAAGCACGGGTCTAACATCGTCCGAGAGAACAAGAAGCAGGTATCCCAGAACGCGAGCTGCAACGAGAGGTGGTGCCCGGCTTGCGCTTGTTTGGGCTTCCGGCTGAGTCGCGCTCCAACTCTCCAGCGCGCGACAGTGGTGATACGCTGTGATAGCATCCTCGCCAGCAAGACTGAATTCCGTTGACGAGGTCAGATCAGGCAGAGGCGTACCAGCCATGAAGAGTGATTCACGTGAGGGGATTTGGGAAGACTGAGCAGTAAGGGGACGGTGAGTAGCTGAAGTGGTGGACCCTTCGCATCCAGATTAGTAGATATCGGGTTCCTGCCGCCGCCTCAACGACAAAGTGAAGTATACGGACACTTGCACTTGTACACCGTCTTGGTAAATGGAAGAGGACAAGTTCTTTAAGGGATAATACAAATGGTATCATCCACGGATCAGTATCGACCTTCCGCACGCACCATCTAAAGACCAGGCAACCATCTTCTTGCGCCCGTCTTCGTGCCTCCCGAGCCCCAACCCAGCCCCGATCCCGTACCACGCGCACTTCCAACCCCATACTTTCCAAGAGCGACCCTCACGTCTCCCAGAGCGTCTACGTTACCCCTCGCAACGACGGTCACGCCTGCTTTCCCACCTCCCTCTGTACCCAGCTGGCCGGAAAGGACTTCCCTCGCTACACGCTCCACGTCTTCCTTCTCTACCGCGTCGATCCTCTCGTCCAACTCCCATGGACCTACTCTCCTCCCATGCACCTGGACTTGCCTGCCAAGGTCTTCGACTTGTACTGCTCGGCTCTCGAGGGACATTGCGATGCTCGATTTGAGCTGATTCTTCGCCCTGCTCAGTTCGGAAGGCTGGATGTTTCCCGGCTGCATAAGCTGGGCTAGGAATGTGCCCATGATAAGGGGCAGCGCAGAGGCTGTCGCATGCGTGCTGCTTGCAGCGACACCGAACAGGCCAGCATCGGTATAGATATGGTGGAAGGCCTGGCATGCGTCGACAGAATGATGACGATTAAGGATCTGGGTGTAGCATCGGCTATACATGCCTTTCCCTGGCCCGCCAGCGGAGAAGGAAGAACCGCCGCCGAGGAGGACTTGGAGTACGGCGAGGGCGTAGATGGAAGGGTGAGAGATGGGCAGGGAGGGGAAGGCGAGGTGCAGGTGCGTGAAAGGGAGCGTGTCATCCGGGACGAGTATGGTGGATGGTTGGTGCACCGCTGGCTCGCGAGGAGGCGGGACGGGGGAAGGCGAGGAGAGCGTGGAGAGCCGAGCAGTTAGGTTTGGCGCGCTGCCCATAGAGGGAGAGGGAGGGGGAGTGAGCGGCTGAGACTGGGGGGTCGGATGTGCTTGAACTGAAGGCGGAGGGAAGCGCACTGTTGGCGCAGCGTTCTGTTCGACGTAGGGCATGTATCCGAAGTACTGCTCTGCGAGCTCCACTAATTGCCTATGGGGCATGCCCGCTCCAGCGACGACGATGCGCTCGGGTCTGACCCAGGTGGCAATGTATTCCCGCAACACCTCGGGAGTGATGTGTTCCAGCCTGTCCTCAGGGCAAAGAAGTGGACGACCGAGTGTGTGCCGGCCGAAGGCAGCCTGGTGTACAAGTTCGGGGAGGATGAGGTCGGGTTTTGCGGTGATCTCGCGGATCTCGTATGCTGCTGCCTCCTTTTGCTCCTCTAGCTCTTGCGGGAGGAAGAGGGGTTGATGCAGGGTGGAAGCGATGAGGGATAGAGCGGTGGAGAGGTCGGCAGGAAAATGCGTGGATTGGTACATCATCGCCTCTCTGGACGAGGAACAAGTGAGCTGTATGCCGGTTGCGTCGAGGATGGCGGACGTGTCCAGTGCAGAGTGTGCTGTAGTGCTCTGTTGGCGGGTGAGGGACGTACGATACCCATAAGTCTATGCGCACCTTGTATGCCATCCTGTCGAGCGTATGACTCACTCCACACAACCTCTCATTCTCGTATCTCGACCCAGCATCCACGTAGACGCCAATAGAGTGAAAGTGACCTGGCGATTCTTCGGTCGTCACTCGCACTTGGTTGGGAAGCGTCGTAATCTGCACTGAGGGGTCAAGTGCACTCCCATGCAATGAACCTGCCGATGTTGCTAGCCTTCGTGCAAGAGACAGTCGTTTGACTGGTAGTCTATGCATTTTGTATATCTAGACGATGAGCAGCAAGAGAAGGTAAGCAAGGGAGGACGGCGAGGAGAGAGGTGGTCGTCTGCCTGACAGCGACGCGCGCTAAACTTCCGACGTGCCGAGGACACCGAGGAAATCACGGCCGCAATTTTTTGTGATTTATTTCGGACCTTTTTCAGCAGTGACGAGTGACGTAACATCTGACCCACAAGTCGACTTCTACGTCACATGTCCCCTCTCTTTCGCCCATCACCCATACTCAAGATGTGTCGACTCTTTCTCACCCAAGCACAAGCAGAAGCGTTCGACATCGCCCTCCTAGGAATGCCCTTCGAAACCTAGATGTCCTACACGACTTGTCCCGTTCGATATCCACGCTGGAAGTAGGAGGATAGGCACGCTCAGTTAGGGTGCAGACCCGTACGTCAGAGGAAGGGTGTTGGACTGCGGTGATGTGCGTCCTTGTCTTCCTCTCTTGCCCTCAGCGGGAACCGACTCGCTGATGCGACCTTCAGGGGTACCACGATATCCGACAACGCCCCCCCCTCTCGCCCAGATGGAAGCAGCATACACCTCCCTCCTCTTCCATCATACAAAATTCAACTCCTACCATGCCTCCCGGTTTGCAAAAGACGGGCTCGAGCATCCGCGCATTGTCACTCTCAAAGGGGACCACACTGTTGGACTCCCGATCATGAGATCGCTGAACGAGGTATACCGGCAGGTGACGGTTATTGTATGCCCCTTCTCTTCTTCCGTCCCGCCGATTTCCTCATCTGTATTTGCAACACCTCGTTTCCCCACCTCGATACGTGGACGCCGGTCAACTACCCCGGAGTGTCAAGCGACGAGAATTGGATAAGTGCTATAACCCACGGGAGCTTCTTCTGGAAAGCCTGGACCGAAGTGCTGATGACGGAGCGCAATATGCACGTGGATACCCGGTGCAAGTTCTACGTGCGTCATTTCCACTACCCTTCCGCTTTAGCTCGCTGCCTGACTGAAAAAATTGCTGACGAGTGCCAGGGACTCAAGACTGGGAACATGATTCCTCCGTCCGGTTCGCCCTTCCGACAACAGACGACATTAAGACCATCTCCGTTTCTCGGGTATCGCCGCGCTTATCTGGGAGCAGGTGGAAAACAGGTCCGTCTACCTTAGCGTGGATCTCGGCGTTCTGGGCCTGGCGTTCACTCCTGCCAGGACGCACCCACAAACATCAAGGCGGACACGATGCTGATTGGCTTGCCTTTCCTTGGTTGTGTACCGGGGCACACCTGAAGCTGGAGGATAGAGCGTGAGAGAGCTCAAGGCAGTGATGAGAGGGCTGCAGGGACTGAATTCTGTCGCCACGGACATACATCGAAGAAGTCGTCCCTGCGTACGAGACGAATGGTGCGTCTTCCCCGCCTTCTGTATCAAGGTGTGTGTTAGTGGTAGTGGTGATAGATACGGCAGCGGAAGCCACAGCTGTCATTAGTGCCGATCTCGTGCACGAGTATGTGTCGATGTTTCTTGCCGAACGGCCTGTGCGGGATGCGCGGGACACCTGGACGGAGAGAGGGTGGGGAACGAAGTTTGCCGGGAATGGGAATGGGTGAGTGGCAGAGGTTTGGGGGAGGAGAGTGCTGATTTGGAGAATGATGTAGGAGGAGGGATGAGCTCTGACTCGGACTTGGGCACAGAGGGCGGTTCACAGGGATTGGGGGAGGGGAATGAGGGTGTGATGTACAGGTTGGGAGCTGGTTGGTCCTTAGTATGCTTGAACGACCAGGTTGAAGGGCTGCATGGGCGATAAGATGGAACCAATGTAGACCTGGCGCTGCTTTGCGTGATCTCTGAGGTCCAACCCCGAGGCTCGCCGCTCATTCCGATCAAACGCAATAATACCTCAAATAGATTCTAGGAAAACTACTGAGCCACACCCTTCATTTAGACTCTTACTCGAGTACCCCGCTCGATTCACTCGCCGTCTCGCCGTCTCTGTCTAACTCCGACAGTGCCGCAATGCACTCTGCCGCCCTGGAACGAACCCCAATACTTAGCCTCAAATATCTCCCTCGCTTCATCGAGCATGTGTCTAGCCATCGATATCCTACCCTGCTTCACGAAAAGATATGCAAGGGACTGCTTACAGTCTGCCAACTCCCATTTCGTCCCAGAATCTTCGAATATCTTCTCAGCTTCTCGTAGCATACTCAGGGCTTCAGTGCACTGGGACTGATCGACGAGGATATTACCGAGACCGAGGATACATACAGCAGCACTGAAATGCTGTGGAACAGCCTGAAACACTGCCCTCGCTTCTGTAAGCAGAGAGGTTGCCTCCTCATACTGGGACTGCATTCGCATGCTCTCACCGAGAAGCTGCGTACAATGCGCGGCACCCAGACGATGTGGAAGGGCCGCGAACGCTGCCCTCGCTTCCGTGAGCAGAGAGGCTGCCTCGTCATGCCGAGACTGCATGCGAAGGATGTCGCCGAGATCCCGCACGCATTCCGCGGCACCGAGACGGTTTGGGATGGCCTCGAACGCCGCCCTCGCTTCCGTAGCCAGAACCGCTGCCTCCTCGTGCTGGGACTGCATATTAAGGATGTGCGCGAGAAGATGCGCACATTGCGCGGCACCGAGACGGTTTGGGATGGCCTCGAACGCCGCCCTCGCTTCCGTAAGCAGAGCGGCTGCCTCGTCGTACCGAGACTGCAAGCGAAGGAGGTCGCCGAGATCCCGCACACACTGCGCGGCACCGAGACGGTTTGGGATGACCTCGAACGCTGCCCTCGCTTCCGTGAACGGAGCGGCTACCTCGTCGTACCGAGACTGCACGCGAAGTATTTCGCCGTGACTGCGCATGCACTGCGCCACACCGAGACGATACGGGATCGCCTCGAACACCGCCCTCGCTTCTGTTACCATCGCCGCCGCCTCTTCGTATCGAAACTGTTTTATCAGGACGTTTCCCAGCGTTTTCAAACATTCTGCGATGTCCCTTTCTTCATCCCCAATACGGTACACAGAATCCGTGTCCTCACTGTTGCTCAAGCTATCGCTGCCTCCCGTGCTTCTCGACCCTCGCAACGTCGCAATGCTGGTTTTAAGCAGCGGTCCACAGTCGCCATATCCCGTGGCCACTGAAAAATGCGCTAGCGATAAGGTTGACGTCCGGCAAGCGTCTGATGTGAAAACGAGGGGTCGTCTCCTCCAAAGGTGTAACAAGACCGCATTGATATTACCGAACTCTTCAGCAAGGTGCTGGACCATGCCGGCACTGTTGTCGCCTCCGTATTCGTACGCTCAATTCGCAAGCCGCATGACATAGGTCCCCACATCCTTCAGATGCATCCCATTGGGAGGGTACTGGGCCAGAATGAAATCACGAATCGGTGACAAAATTCGGATTCGTCCGCTCTCTTGATAAGCAAGTCCAGTGCGCAGTAGCACCAGTGCCGTCGCTGTCACGTTCCGTTCCATTGACGGGATCATAGCTGGAAGGGATTCGATTATTGCTCCAATGGGTAATAGGGAAAGGGCCGAGAGCAACGGCAGGCATTCGGGTTGATTTGACATCGATCTCGACTCGAGTGAAAGCCGGATAGAGACCTCTAGGCTGTCCAATCGTCCCGTTCCGTCAGCCTTGACCAAATTGAAAGCTTCGCGCTCATACGCGGCTAGGAGTGTGGATGGAGGCAGGTCGATCCCTTGCAATGCCATCAGATGAATCGCCAGCGGCAGTCTATCCAGTCTCTCGAGCAGTTCGTCCAATTTCTCGTCGCTCTTCTTCGAAACCTGCATCCAGATCTCGCGGGCAGCATGAAGAGACAGTTCTGAAGAGGCGGAACGTCATCCCATGTAAGCCCCTGGGCAGGTTGGGTACCTCTCATGGTGATGATCAACGAAAATGAGGGAACGCGGCCGATTCGGCCTAGCAATTCACGGATGTGTTGCCTATCTGACTGCGCTGTCGTCTCGAAATTGTCCAGAGTGAGAAGGGCGCGGCCGAGCGAAGAGAGGTGTGCGATCAGGGCCGTGCGGGTGTTGGAGTCGCGTTGGACTCGGAAAAAAACTGCTAGCGCATTCACCAGGCCTTCCTCCGAATCGATGCCTTCGCAGCTCAGGAAGAAGATATGCTCTCTGTATCGCTCCTTAACTTGCTCATCGTTCATCGCTGCAGCCGCAACCGATGTCTTCCCGATTCCTCCTGGGCCAAGTATAGGCACCCGGCACAGTTTATCCTGGAGCAGCAGCTGGACGATTGATTCGACCACTTCGTCTCTGCTGTAAAATGCCTCCGGCGTGGGGGGGATGTCGATCAAGAAAGGCCTGGTTCACAGTCAGGTAGGGAGTGACGAGGCAGAAAACACTGCATACCCTTGTTGGCCGAGCGATCGCCCAGCCATATCGTTTGACACATCCGTATGAATCTCCTGCCTCAACGTGAGTACCAGAGCTCACTTGCTTGACCGTTTACTTACCACACACTGGAGCCGGAGAGCATCGAGGGTTTTATGATACTTGCTGATCTTTCGTGCTCTCTTGCCCGTGATATCACCCTTCTTCGTACCCGAACGAAGAAACGCGCTAATCTCAGACACTTTGCTGATGGGGGACATCAGGACATCATGGGATCAGCGCTCATACGTAAAACGCACGCAGCAAGTGCTGAAACCACCTCTTTCGCCCTCTCGTCTCCTGGGCCGTCAGGCGCGATACGGTCCAGTATGATTTGAGTCACCCAGGTTACTTTCAACGCCAGTTGTTGACTGTCATCCTCCAGTTCTTGCATGGTCTAGCGAAGGGTCAACGCGTTAGACGCTGGCCTGAGACGTGGAGGCGAAAACACACACCTCCGCGATACCGGCAACCTGCGTCGCCGTGTTCCTCAGCTTCTCCTTGATGGGCGCTAGCTGTGAGGTTGCGCGTGTACTCCAGCGCTGCCATGTCTCTTGGAAAGGTACCTTGGGGCCACTCATGTGCCGCGGAGAGTGTTGGAGAGCGATAGGGAGTTTGCACTGGCGGTCTGGATAGAAAGACAGGTAGAGAGCGGTGAAGGGAATAAAGGAATCGGCGGATGACAGGAATGTTTAGCCCATGCTAAGTTATATCTTGTGTTGGGCACAGGAATTGCTCGCTCATCGATGTCGGTCCACGGAACTCCATTGCTGTAAGGAGGTGATGCAGGCCGCGGAACAGTGTCCAGAAACTGATGCTCTTGTTTGCGATATATATTTCGTACCATTCTAGCGTTGTTAGCTAACAATTTGTTCGCCGTAATGATGTTACTCACCCCTGGTGTTGTATTACAACGGACTTGATCCCTCACTCCCTCCTCATATCCGAGGACAGTGAACATTCCATCATCTCTCACATCGCCGACCTCCTCATCCCGTCTTCAATCCGAGACATTCTCCAAATTTCCAACGAAGATATCGATCCTGTCATTGCCCAGAAACGATGTCCATGGATCGGGGTTGGCGACAGCTGTTCCTCGGATCTGTTGCCTCGTCAAGACTTGTACCGTTAGGTTGCTGGCGTTAAGAGGGAGGAAAAGAATGGCTCTTGCGCTGTTGATAATACCAGGATCTGGGTGGATAGGGATTATAAAAGAGGGTAAGAATATGACGAGCAAGCGGGCGAGATACAGAGCAATGACCGCTAGCTGGAACGCAAGTCTCTACGTGAAAACAGTCATGGCGCGTTCTTTCACGTGACATATTTAAAGTTGGGAATGGATCGGACAACATACGATTGTCGGTAGTTGTCTCTGAGAGCAATTTGTTGTCATTAATAGTGGAGATAAGCTGCCAAGTTGACATTGTGAGCAGGGCAATCCGAAGATATCCGACAAGGCCGGATCAATGTCATTTCCACGAGACAGATCCTTCCTGTCGTGTGGACATTTATGTTCCAACGCGGAGTCAATGCACCTAGTTCATCTGGCAGGGAAGCTTGTCATGCTGTCTTAGCAGTTGTAGGTGCGAGCCGCCGCAGCCCACAACTTCGGCGCGAATCGATAAATCGACCGCCGAAAATCAAACGGATACATCATCCGACCTGATAAATAAATACCAATCACGAGGCAAAGAGATAAGAACGAAAAAACTCGAAGACCAAGTGACAAAGAGATGGATAACATGTTCCCGCATAGAGACAGAGACAGAGATCTACTTCGTTTCTTTCCCCCGATTTCTCCCATGATCGATGTCGATATTTCCTCCAGGTGCGCAGGTAGTGTGCGCTCCGGGCACTTTGACGTCGTGCGAGGTAGTGGGATGGCGCATGGGGTGAGAGGTGAGACAGGGGAAAGTGGAGAGCAGGCTCAGAAATCTGACCATGAGCGACGGAATTTGTACTGTTGATCATTAGCTGACGCGTCCTGGGGTAAACGAGGTGGCCGTCTTGCCTTGTATGGCAGGTTCCGCCTGTTGGTCCAAGTGAGGGACAGGATAATGTTATGTTAGCGTGTGGTTCAGATAGCAGGAAAAGAAGAGAATGGCGGGAGAGAGGGGGTAAAAGGTGGCTTGTCCAGTGGAGAGGGCGAGGTTGCACACGCATACGCAAAAAATGGTAAAGAAAAAGAAAAAGAATGCTTGTTGACGCACCTCAGTTTATCCGCCGGTGTCCTAGGCCGCTTGAATCCCTCTTCTCCCTCGCCCCATTGCTCCTTCTTGCTTGCCTCATCAGCCGCGCCCGAAAACTTATCATGCACATCTTCCTCTTTCCGCCCCCGATCAAATCTGGGTTTCTTAGCCTCCTCACCCAGCCCTTGAAGTACCTGTTGGCCCTCCCCTGGCTGCGCTAGCGGCTCAGCAGCGTCTGCTTCTGCCTGGGTATGGGCCTGGGCGAGCTCCTCTGGAGGAGGGTTCCCATGCGCGTCCAATGGTGGTAGGCCCTGGAACTTGCGCTCCCTGTTCTGTTCCTCAATCTCGATCGCCTCGTGGTTCGTGAAATGTTCGATGTCTTCAAGGTGATTGTAGGACTCGTCTGTCTGTGTCTCGGGTGTGGAATGATAGATCTCTTCGTGATGGAGGAAGTACTCCGATTCCTGTCCAACCAATTAGCACACGGTGTGAAGCATCATAAACCGAGCGTGTACGCACACTATCGTAGTGATGCCCATCCGCTCCTAGTTTTGCGAAATCTGGTAGTCCCGCCGGACCCGCTTCAACAAACTCCTTGAGCGAGATCTGCCCATCCTGGTCCTTGTCCATCGCCGTCAACACGCTGTTTACAATCTCCTTCGCCTTCTCCGAATGTGCGTCTTCGGAAACGGACGATTCGTGCTTCTTAGATATCTCATGGTGCACGCCGTAGATTGCTGCGATTTCGTCTACGGTCAGGAAAAGGTTGCGATCGAGGTCGTGCAGGTGGAAGAAAGATTCTGCTAGGTGTTAGGATGACTCAACCAAAAGACAAGAACGCACCCATGTCAAAGTCATCGCTTTGAGTATCGTAAATCAGCCTATCTGGTGCACATGTTTGAATAATACGTACATATGATGTTCCTTAGCCATCTATATCCAAGTCAGTATAGCGCCCCTCTGCAGAATCCAAAGCACTCACATGCCTCGCCGCGTAATTATCGTGCCCAGGCTCCTCCTGTCCCTCTTCTCCATGATCGCCATGAGCACTTGCCCCCAACACTGCCGCAAGCAAGACGACACACGCAGAAGCCTTCATGGTGGACAGAGGCAGATGAGAGATACTTATGTTAAGATTTGGAACGCGGGTTGGTGGACAGGGATCGAACTTGTTTGAAAAGATGCCGCTTAGGTAAAACAAGCGGCACCGTTGCCAGGGCAGCATAACTCCGCGGAGGCGCGAAGACATTCTTAGCTGTTAACCCGCCCTTGGTCCTCAGGTGGACAACGACAGGCTTACAACAGCTTACCAGTCAGACAACTATGACTGGCGCATTAGAAAGAATTTGCAGAGATCTGGCCAAGCGGTTTTTACCACAAGACACCCCGTGCATCCAATGGAAGGTCTAGCCCTATCCAACCAGTTCTGTCCCAGCTGTCTCATGCATGCCATCCGTGTTTCGATCATCTCCGATCTGCTAGCTCCTCTTACCTGGGACAACAAGTGCATGACTTGGTGTTGGATAATTGTCGCTCACCCGTCTTTCGATCAGAGTCACCAGGAATTGTCTTTCCGTGGACGCTACATTTTTTTCGACTCCGAGGCATTCAGTTCCGGCACCTATGAAACAAATTCCTCTACCCTTCTCATACCAGAGACATTATTAAAAACCATTGACCAAAGCAAATTCCAGCTTTAGAGTTGTCGATGGTCCGAGATCAAATATACGTGGGAGCGATCGCGATCGATCGATCGATGCCGCATCCGATGCCTGTTCATCTCCTCGGTTGTCTCCGCTCGATGTCTTCGGTATGCCCTCGTTGTTTGCCTTTCCTCTCCACGCCGCTCTACTACTGCGAACGACCCGGGCAGGCCAAGAGCATGAATCCGGGGCATGTCCCGCCCGTTTTCGTCTTTCCACAGCATCGATAGCCGTCTTGCACATGCGCAGCTTCTTGAGGTCGCTTCTGTATTCCGATTTATTTGGTTGCCCGAAAGTCATAGTTTTTTTTTCACATAAGGAGTTAGTAGAGGACACTGCAAAGGTTGTAAACTAGACATGACATCCATCATCGAAATCCATGACTACATGATGGATGTCTCCCACTGGCGCGATACGGCATGATTTTGCTGAGTGGAGGATGGGCGAAAAAAAGACCCAGTCTATCACTCATCATAGGCACAAGCATTGGAACCAATGTAGACAATAAGGAAATCATAGATGCAAAGGAAAGTTGTGTGACTAGAGCTATATCTCCTACATATGCAGACACTACGCCGATATGCTCTTCCTCGCCGCTCCACGCCGGTGCTATCAATCTTTCGCTCCCATATTCGCTCCGAATGTCCGATGGGCATGTCCATCGAATTTTACCACGTGCCCAACCTCGCACATTGTAGTGGGCTGATCTACTGCGCGACAGTACGCTTCTTCGCTGCTGACTCTTCTTTCTTCTGCTCCCCGGCCGGAGCAACAGGCGCCTTCTCCTTCTGTGCCGGCTTGGTCGCCTTAATGACAGGCTTGGAGGAACCACCCACGAGACCGGAGATAGCAGCAAGCAGGCCGAGAAGGGTGAGGGCAGTCGCAACAAGTGCGCCGCCAACCTCGGGCATCGCCTTGAAGGCAGCAACAGGGTCGATGATGGCGAGATCAATGAACTTGGTAACCTGAGCACGGATGAAGGCGACCGGGTCGTCCTTCCAAGACGATGCGGGGCCCTCAGCAGCCGCAGTCTCCTCTGCCTTAGCCTTTGCCTTAGCGGCCTCCTCGATTCCATGCTTGACGTCGAAGGTCTCCGCAGCCAGCTCCTTGGCATCAGCGACAGAGTGGCCGACGTAGATGTTGTCGAAGAGGATGTCTTCGGTCATGGTCCAGAGCTCGATACCGACAGCGCCGATCTTGTTGAGATCAGAGGGCTGGAGATCCTCGAAGTAATCAGGGTTGTCGATCTTCCGAGGTGCCCAAAGGCCCTTGTATGCCGGGTTGTCAATCATGGGTGCCGCCCACTTACCCTTGTAAGCTGGGTTGGCCTTGAAGGGGCTACAGTGATGTCAGCCTATCTCATGGATGCATGGTGAAGTACCACATACCGCTTCCAAGGACCACAGCCAGGGGCAACCATGCACTTCGGGTTGTCGACCATGGGAGGAACCCAGTCGCCATCTTCCTCATCGTCCCACTCCTCTGGCTTCTCCGCATCAGGATCAGCGACCTTAACCGGCTCATCCTCGAGCCACCCTTCGGGCATCTCAGCTTCTTCATCGAGAATCTGAGCAGGCGCATCCTCGTCCCAGTCTTCGGGCTTGGTTGCCTCAGGGTCGGGAATCCTGGCGGCATCAACCCAGTCCTCTGGCTTGATGTCACTGGGGTCGTCGATTTCCTTGGGTGGGTTGACGGCAGGGTCGAAGTCTTCGAGCAAACTCCCGCTAACCTCACTCTTACCATCAATGAGGATCTCGTAGGTGTTGTCGGGGTTCACAATAAGGGTGTACAGCTTCGTCTCGGTGCCAATGATGGGCTTAGGCGCCTTCTTCAGGTGCTTCTCCTCAACGACACCAGTAATCGGGTTCTTATGACGGAAGATGAAGTGAACCTAAGAACACATGTCAGTCCTGTGCAAACAACAGACGAGGTGTGGAGAAGTCGCACTTTGGTACCGGGGCACGTCAAATCAGGGCCGAACATGATAACCCAAGGAGTCTTGTCGTTGAAATCCTTTCCGCTGGTCTGGAACCCCTCCTCCAGAAGCTTAATGTAGCCACCACCACAGTTGCCACCCTTCTGGTACTTCACTTCGTACTGAACAACAAGAGTCTTGCCCTTCGGGTCGACAGCCTCGGCGAATGGAGCGGAGATAGCATGGTGGCCGGCCTTGGTCTTGGCAACCAAGCCCTTGTCACCGCTGAAGAGGGGCGTTGTTGGCTCCTCAAGAGCCCACTTCCCGACGTATGAGTAAGTTTCGCCCCCAACTGGAGTCTGCACGGTCGCCTCGGATGGCGTCCAGCGCTCGGAGTAGTCGTCCGTGAACTGCTCGAGGAATGGAGCCTTGATCGTGGTCGCCTAGTTAGACGTGTCAGGGTTCCACGTCAACCCGTGATTGGCATACAGCGACTCAACATACCTCAAAAACGGGCTTATCTTGAGCAACGACCGCCGAAGCGGCGATAAGAACTGCTGTTGAAAGAGCGACAGCACGCATTATGGGGAAAAGAAAGAGATGTCGATGTCGCGACAGGAAGGAATGACGGGATGAAGGGGTTGAGAGGCAGAGAGATCGAGGAGCAGGCCAAGGAAATGGACTAAACGGAACCAAATCTTCTATGCCACGTCGTCGGTCCCTACTGGGGCTCTTGCATGAGCCAGGTCACACTTCAAAATATCAACGCTGGATAGAACGTTCGGGAGCCTTTGCACATGATACATTTTAGAAAGAATGCTACACGGCTCTAATACGTGTCACGGTCCGGAATGTCCACTTCATCCTAAAAGATCCGCGTGTCCAGACGCAGACAACGCCAGCTAGATCCCTCCACGTCAGCACACACCGGAGGATCGGAGTTAGGACACTTACCACGAACTCGTCATCCAAGTACTTCGACACAGCTATTTGATCTCCCAAACCCTTTCGCCTACGCGTTTTCAGCACCAAATCCCTTGCTAAAGCTTGTCCGGTTGCGGGTTCTAGTGGTCGTAACTTGATACTTGTATCGGTAGGATCACCGGGCACAATCGACCAGTGATCAAACAACTGTAAACAGAAAGCCTGACCCTGTGTTGCTGTCCGTAGATCCGTCTCGAACCCGTTCGCGTCGATGACAGGGATCAGGGCTTTGACAGTGTACAGGGGCGAACCGGCCTTCGGGATATCTTGAGTGACGTGTCCACGTCGTCTCGCAAGCACTGTGTAAACCTCGGAAACACAATCCGCTGGCGCTTGAACTTCCACGTAGTACACAGGTTCCATCAGCCTCGGGGTGGCCATCAAGAATGATGAATAGCAAACTCTCCGCGCTGTAGGCACAATCTGCCCACCGCCTCGATAGATCGGCTCTTGTGCGAGACTAGCATCCAAGATGCGAAATTTGACGTTTCGCATGGCTGAAGCACATCAGCTGGGAATAACAAAGAATATACTACTCTGCTCACGCTCATCACATAATGGCCCCTCTCGTGCACCCCACTGGAAACCCTGCTTGACATGCTCCTTGACCAAACCCAACATCTTTTTGTCCACTTCCGACGGTAGAGTGTCATCCATCAGGATGTTCGCACCTTGTTCATCAGGCCCAAACGCCCATATCGACCGGGAAGCGAGCAGGTCCCACTGATATTTTTCTTGGAAGAACCCGCCTCGTTCTTTTGGAGTCATGCGCATTGTTACGCGGCCGGATTCGATATCTTCCGCAATGCCGCGCTCGAGGGGCTCAGCAATCATGGTTAGCCGATTCCTGTCCAGATGATGAGGAACGATCATAGACTTCCATATGGGCACGTACTTTTTGTTGGGCGTATCCGCATAGCATTTCAGAGCACTCGTTTCCACCACTGTCTCCGCAAACTTCGTCACAGGATCTGAGACCTTGATCTCGATCTCGGCGAATATCCTCCTCAAATCGTGCAGAACGCAATCTAGATACAGCTCTCCAGTTCCGAGGATTACGTGTTCTCCACTCTCCTCGACCTTAGTCTGCAACAGCGGATAGCTCTTGTTGACCTTTCGCAACCCTGACAGCATCTTCGGCAGTTCAGATGGTACAATTGGCTCCACCGCGACCTTCAGCACAGACTGGGTAATATGTTTGATTGGGCGGAAGATATGTAAGTCTTCGTTCTCCTCGGTGGCGATGGCGATAGTGGCAGTCTTCGTGATCGAGTTATCAACGCCACCAATCAAAACCAGGTTCCCTGCGGGCACTTCCTCCGCCTCGATAGCGTATCGCGCCTCGCTGATCCACAAGTTCTCTGCAATAGCCTTGACCATGTCCTCCTCGTCTTCCGGCGAGTAGCCTTCCCCTAGGACCTTGACTTCATCGCCCTTCTTCAGGGTCCCACTCAGCACGCGACCAAATGCGCGGAACTCCTGTGCGTCTGTCGTCTGATATAGCTTTGTTATTTGTACTGTTGCCGGGCCCGCGGCGGAACACGCGAGCATCGATTCCGCTAATGGGGTGTTGAGGGCGCCGGTGTACGTTCGCTCAACCTTGTTGCGGGTCGCGTGGGCTGGAGAAGGTATGTGTTCGGTGATAAGGTCCACAAAGCCAGTCGAATTGCTGAAGAACTGGTCGCACACGGCTTTGAGCAGCGGCTTCACATCCATCTTGTACATCACTGGCTTGAGCTGGATGTTGAGAGAGGCAAGTGTCTCTTTCAACTGGTCCGTGTCCTCGCTCAGGACAGCGGAGTAAAGCTTGTAGATGGGATCGAGGATGAACATCTGGAAGGAGCGAGGTGCACCAGCTTCCCGTGCCTTTCGTGAGAACTTGCGGGATTCCCGGTCGAAGTAGATGTCGCCCCATAACCGGAGTGCGAAATCATCAACCTTAAACTTGCCTACCTCATGTGTGACTTTGTCGCTCATGGGATTCTTTCATAGAAGGGGACGCACCGTATGTGTCCGCATACATCTGAGCAAACGACCTCAGCGTGAAGCACCACCCCATCTGCGTGCTCGCAAAAGCGACATTCCCCTTTTCTGGCGACAATCGCAACGCAGGATCAGAATTGATACCGCTGATGTATGTGTTTACTTCCTCAATCGTGTGCTTTATCTTGTAGTAAGCTTCGCCTGGCGGTAGCCGTAGTTCCAATACGAGCCTATCCATCTTGTTGATAACGAGTGTCATGGGAAGGCCCTCGAGAACACAGTGCCGAAGAATTTGTTCCGTGCCAACCATGACTCCCTCTACAACATCAACGACTACGACAACTCCATCCACCAGCCGGCAAGCAGAAGCTACCTCGTCCAGAAAGTTTACATGTCCGGGTGTGTCGACGAGATGGCATAAATGGGACTTGCCGAGCGTGTTCTGTAGAACGAGAGACATTGGCGTCGATTTGATGGATATCTGTCGTTCTCGGGCGAGCAGATGGGTGTCGGTGTATCGTAGCTCGTTGTCAGAGTCCCATGTCAGCTTGTGCGTTTCGAACACAAGCATATCCATGAGTGCCGTCTTGCCGTGATGTAGATGGCCTACTATAGCAACGTTGCGAATCATATCGGGAAAGTTCATCATATCTAGCATGAATCTGTAGCTGATGAGTCGCCGTATACAGGCCGAAAAAGCATGCACACTTACCCTTTGTCGTACCGAGTCTCTGGAAGCCCTTTCTCCTCAACAGCAAACCGTCTAACTTTGATAGGCGCGATAATAGGCTCGCTTAATGGCTGCGTATCTTCTTCTTGTACGATTGCTTCTACCTCTGGTCCATACAGCTCTTCTGCCGTCGGGTAGTACTTCTTGTCCTCGTGTAGTACCACGGCACGCGCCGAGGGCAGTTCGTCCACGTCCATCAGCGCAACTTGGTTAGCAGCAGCAGGCTCGCCCTCAGACATATCCTCATCTCCATCGTCAAAACCTTCCAGAAGTGCATAGCTGCGTGACGCCGCTGGTTGGGAAGGAATGGTCTGCTGAAAAGGTGCCTCTTCTTCGTCGTCGGAGTCCAGGTCGGCGCCAATGTAGTTGCCGAACTGGAATTTTTATCAGTATGATACTTTACATGCTCTATAATCAGCTCACCTCATCGTAGTCATCCATAGATGTCATTTTTAGTGTATATTGAAGAGAGGATAGATAGGTCCAACACCGCACGCGAGCGCTTCACTCCGAGCTGTGGCAACTCAAAAGTCGAGGAGCGCGTTGGCGCTTCTTTTGTTTCCGTGTACAGCCACTAGACCTGGACGCGTCTCGTTGACCTGCCATCCCCTGCCTGGTGTGAGATCAGACGACCATGTTCACCGGGATCGTGAGTACAACAACACATATGGTCTTCACATCTAACAAACGATAAAATAGATAGAACACTTGGGCAATGTCCAGGCTATTACCGAGCTGGACACCACCGAATCCGGAGGCTCTGGCTTCTCCATCACCATCAACGAATGTGCAAGCATTCTTGATGACTGCCACATCGGCGACTCCATCTGTGTCAATGGAGCATGCTTGACTGTGACGGAATTCTTCCTAGAGAACGGTGGCAGCTTTAAAGTTGGATTAGCACCGGAAACCTTGGAGAGGACAGATCTTGGTGCGTGCTGCATCGCTGATAGTCCTTGGAAGCTTTGCTGATCTGCAAGTAGGCGAGCTTGAAGTCGGGCACAAGGTTAACCTCGAACGCGCTATGGCTGCACATACCCGATTTGGTGGACATTTTGTGCAAGGTCACGTGGATGAAACCGCTACTATCCTCTCGATGACGCCAGACGAGAACTCTCTGCGCTGCGTCTTCCAGCTCCCTCCACCAACACCCGAACGGCCATCATTGATGCCATACCTTATTCCAAAGGGCTATGTCTGTCTCGACGGCACTTCTCTGACACTCACCCAAGTCGACGACTCAGAGCGAACGTTCGGCGTCATGCTTATCGCGCACACGCAGAGCAAGATCGTTTTGCCACTGAAGATGCCTGGGATGAAGGTCAACGTCGAAGTGGATATGGTAGGTAAATATGTCGAAAAGGCTGTTCTGGCCGCTCTTGGTGGGTCTCAAGGCGTGGAGAACCGTGTAGAGCAGATGGTGGAGAAGATTCTCGAGACGCGCAAATAAATGTTGTGTGAAGTATCCAGCGGTTCCACGGGCAAATTCACTGCTTTTGGTTAAGGTATTCGTCCGCCTGTCTCTTCTTTTGGTTTCTGGTGCTAGGTCAAATCGAACGTAAAGCTAGTGGAGCGTGAGGTAAGACGCCCAGCCATTGTTGCTCTCTCAGTCTTCCCAGAGAACCTACATTGCTGAATGCGTGTCTTCGATCCATCTGATTGAAATCTAACAGTTTGCGCAGCAATGTATCCCTAATCCATCTCTTCATATCCTACACAATTCCAAATCTGTCCGCCACGTCCCGTGTTCGAATCCTGCAAGTTCGCAAACGCCTCTGCACATGTTCGATCCCTGCATCAGCTTGATTTCTCATACATCTCCTTCGCCCGCTCCAACATCCTCCCTATCTCTGCTTTGTTGCCTTGCTCTATCAAGGTATATACGAGCTTCATGTCGCAATATGCTATACTGGCCTTAGAGCCCCAGCAAATGAAAGCTGAAAAGAGCGACCCGCAGACCTCCGGCGCGTTATCGGGCGAGAGCTGAACCGGCGACGACAGGAACCAGCCGCACAAAGCAAACTTCCCAACCAGCAAGGCTGATTTGGTTCTGGGGACGGAATGTGTGGGAGCAGCGGAAGCGAAGCCTGCAGATGTGCAGGCAGATGCCGTTGTCTTTGACCAGGCGCGAATCGGGAGCGGTGCCAAGCGAGGTGATACGCAGATTGATGAGGAGAAGTATCCAAAGTAGGATATCCAGCGTTTGGCTACGCAATTCAGGCTGAGAAGGAGAGGACAAAATCTTGCGGGCCCGGTGAAACGGTAGATATACACGTTTGGTTTGTCGGCATGAGTGTTGGCACCAGCGGTGTCAAAGCAGAGATATGCCAAACCGTTTCAACGCAAGCGTTACTCCTGTGGGATCGATCCCTTCAACAGCAGCAAGATCCAAAGCCGTTGCGAAATCGGCGTACAGGTTATCCCGATTCAGCGTACAACGCTCCAGGTCGATCGTGGGGTCCGCGAGCCGCAGTTTTTCGCCAGGAAGCAACGTGTACTTGTCGACGTTCGCTCCCCGAATCGTTCTCCCTCTTGAAGACCATATAGAATATCGAAGCCCTCGAATGATATGCCAGCCAAAACCTGGTCACGCGACACGGAGAAGGCGACCACCTGAGGAATGCCGGGGACGTCGGCACCGCAAAGTAATGCCTGCAGGCCGCCATCTGGGAACTTGTAGTACTGCCTCGCAACATCTTCGATGTCGACACGGTATGTATCTGGAAGTCTATCTTCGGCCACTAGCATTCGCGACAAAGTGCCTCGACGCAGCGATGGAGAAGGACACTGTCGCATGCAAATACCCCACTTCTGCATCAATGTAGTGAGCGATACGTTAATACCATCCAAATTGACAAGTCTTACAATCATGGTGATAGCACGCTGCAAGGCTGGAAGATCCCTCTTCTCTTCTGTTATGTGTCGCTTGTTGGTGGACACCGCGATAGTTGGTGATTCCAGTGCCTCAACAGCGTCGACCATGGTTGTGTCGACATTCCAGAGTACTTGAAGGACGAATGAGAGGGAGGAATACTTCTGACTAATAATGATATTTCTTGTTCCATCAGAGATGGTCACTGCGTCACAGTGGAGCAAAGCATGGCCCGGTTCGCTCGTAAAGAGCGTGATTGGTTCAATGCTGATATCGCTACCGATCATGCGGGCGAGACGGACTGACATGACATAGCTGCGAGCATGCGATGGCCTCGAAAGCGCAGCGCAGACATCGTGTTGCATCCAGATCGCCATCGATGCGTCCTCTGTCAGGGATAATGCCGAGACATACACTAAGCTTTAGTCAATAGACAACGTCCAGAGACAGGTAAGGACGAAGTCAGAGTAGGCTGTCGGCGCTTCAAGATGGAAGGCAGATATTGAATGACCATCTCGTCGTAGAATTGCAGCTAGGGGCGTGGTGAATTTCCCCGATACCGTCATTAGTCGTATCGCTGCATTCCAGCATCTGTAGCGATACTCCTCATCACTTGCCCCGAGCTCAAGTGTTGTACAGGGTTCAACAAAGGGTGACTCTTTCATGAGATCGACGGCGTTGAGGTCCGACAGATCGAGTCTGAAGATCATTGCCGATGAAGAGGTGAGAATGACAAGATAATTCTCAACGAATTCGGCCATGTAGTGCCACTCCTGATGAGCGACTCTCGTCAGGGCATCCAGATGTTATAGGCAACTCCACTCACTTGAATACCGCAATCGAGGTTCACATACCGATTTCTTTCCCAGTCTCGGACGTGGAAATCTACATTACCATTGTAGAGGCGATGTAGAGACCATCGGCCATTGAAAGCGAGCGTGTCGGACGACCTTTGACGGGGGAGAGCGGCGTTAACTCCGTGTTCGTTGATGATCAGCGGATATGTAGATATGTGGGCATTCCCATCCCAAAAGCCATCTCTCCGTTCAGCGGAGGCCCGTCATGGATATTCTCGTAGGTTAGGAGCATTGAAAGAACATTTGGTTGTGTAGAAACACCAGCGCCAGAACAAATAGCGTAATCCTTCGACGAGGCTATGTCGTTGAGAGGAGGGTTCCAAAGCCGCTCAACTTCTACGCGAGGTGTCTGCCCGATGTTGAGCTTCTCCAGAGACCCATCCGACAACCCTCTCAGGACAGTCATCCCCTTGCTCCACGTCCAAGTTATGCATGCATGCACCGCGAGATGGAGACGGCAGAGGAATCAGGGCCCTCTGCACAGCAGCCGTGTCCCTCGCATCTAGACCGGGTGCCGGCGGGCCGCTTGAAATATCAGTGCCTCCATGAAGCTGAGAGCCTGGCTCCTGAGATCTCCAATTTTCAATCCTGACATTATGGTCAGTGGGTTCACAATCACTGCTGTTTGATGGTCGTGGTGGCTTGAGAGGCAAACGACCATATTCGTCCACACCTGAGGCTTGGGGCTGAGGTATGTCCGAAGGGAGATCCATTGGATAAAGCTTGAAATCAAAATGATGATGACAGCTTGTAAAGCGGTTGATGTGAGGAGAGTTTGCAGTTTCGTGCAAAGCGTAAGGAATTGAGAGGTCGTCGGCGCTACATAGGGGGCTTGTTGTCTCTAGGGTTGTAACGGCTGTGGATGCCAAAGGATGTCAGATCCTATCGTCGATAGAACTTGGTTAAGCAGAGTAGAATAGATGGCAGAGAATGGTTTTATCATAACAGCTTACAGGGAGAGACGAACTGAGTATACCTCTAGCTTCGAGCTCGTCGTCCTCCACGAATGATGACGACGGGTTAAAGCAAAGGGGTGAGTACGCTGGTACGCCCTAATAGACGAGAAGACCACTTCGGAGTTACGGACATCACAAGGGTCGCGTGATAGACGCGTGACAACACGTGATGGAGAGTGCGAGAAGGCTACGGATGCAATTAGGTCTACTGTTTTTGTTTTTTGTTTTTTGTTTTTTTTTCCTTTGGTGCTGTTTTTTCCCTTCAATTCTGGTGTTGAAACATTTTTAGGAAATCTAACAATGCCAAATCTGTTTTAAATAAAAAAAGACCTGAGTGGAATCAGAAGCTGCTGTGGTAATTACAACCACAGAACATGTGTTTGGTCCTAGTTTCTACCTCCGGTTGTGCCAGTCAGATTAGGGTTATTGAGTCAAAAGTAGGTTGGGAACGTTTCAGTCGCAACCATGCTCCCCATGCCTGAACGCGACTGTTTATTACTAGGTGCATCCATGCGATCTACATATGGGTTTATTATAGCATGTATCAAGAGCAAGATTGGAGACAATGACAAGTCGGACAAAAGGGAATGATGACGAACAATGCGTATAGTCCGATACATTGCGTAGGCAGTCCATGTCAAGAGAGGTTATTACAGCGGGGTTGAGGACAGGGCAGATGTGGATCGCAGTGGAGTTTTTTGGGAACGGGATGGAGAAAGAGCGATTACAATATGGGCACATGGGATGTCCGAAAAACGCAAAATAAAGTGGGCAGAATCGCAGCTGCGTGAATGTGAAAGTCCTTGAAAAGGTGCAACATGGAGAAACGAAAGAATGTACAAAGGAATATTGCTGAAAGGGGTTATCCGAGAGCTTGATTCTCGTGGCGTTTTTCATCAACCGATGCGATGAGGAATTAGTTGGCAAAACGAGTGCGAGGTCCAGACGATGCTTGGGTAGGGCCGCCGGCGCGGCTCATTCGGTTCTGTGTCTGCTGGGTTTGGGGCTGGGGCAGCGGGGGTTGTTGGATCGGCATATACCCACTCAAGCCGCTCATCATGCTCTCTCTCCTGTCGCGCTCAGCTCTCTGGGCTTGGGCGTTCTGGAGCTGCTGCATCTGTGCCAGGTCTGGTCCACCACCATAAACACTCCCGCTCGGCGTGCCGAGGATGCTCCCACTCGCCACGCTCAAGTTGAGGTCCCACGCTTCACCCGCAGCCGCCATCGCCTGCTGGGCCATTGTAAGCTGGAAAGTCTGACGAGCAGCGAGCATGGCTTGATGATGTGCGGCCGCGAGGGTCGGGTTGGAGGCTACCATAGGTGGCATGGGGGGCATGGCCATTGCGGGTGCTGCGCCTGGTGGAAGGAAAGGTGAGAAATAAGGGTTCGGAGGCGCGCCCATCTGGAAGTACGGATTGCCCATCATCGGGTTGCCGAACGTCGGAGTGTACGGCGCGTTCATGGGCTGGATCCACGAGCTAGGCGGGTTAGGGAAAAGCGGAGCGATCTTGTGCTCCGGGGTAGCCTGGGGCTGCACATCCATATCCTCCGGTGTGAACTTTGGCCCAGGACCATTGACAATGTTTCCGAGTTCGATCGCTGCGCGGGCCTCGCTCTTCCTCCGATCCCGACGGCGGTTCTCTTCTTCTACCACCCCAGCGAACGCGACGCTCTTGACCGCAGGGGGAGTATCAACCCCAACGGCAGTAATAGACGAAGGAACGGTATCGCTCCCATCGCGGGGAGTAAGTGGGCCGGGCCTGCTTCCACTTCCAGATCCGGAGCTCTTAGCACTGACGACGCTCCCACCTGCTGAGCTGCCAGGACTGTCGCTCCAAGGAGGGGGGAAGGGCGGGGGGAGGGGTGAGTACGCGCTAGGTGGGTGCTGCGTACGGTCCGTGCCTTGGCTGACAGAACGCTGGCTCGCGACGGACATGTTCGACCCGGAACGGGCATGCCCAAGCGCAACAGGGGGCCGGCGTGGGATTGGGAGAGGCACTGCCATCGGCCGGGGAGAAATTTGAGACCGGATCTCCCGACTTGCGTCCTCTTCTTCCCCCGGTGCACGTACGGCACTCTCGGGTACCAGATCCCGCCTCAAATCGACGAGCGGCTTCCTTCCGCCGGGGATAAGGTCAGGCGCAGACCCACTGAGGTCGAGCAGCGGTTTCCGCGCTACGTGCTGTGGGCTCTTACTCTGGCTGCGGGTTGAAGATGTGGGGGAAGGAAGCGAGGGAGGGGGGAGGGGACTCGCTGAGCTGCGACGGAATGCGCCTGCTCTTGCGCGGCCAGGGCTGCTCGGTACGGAGCTAGCGGGTGAGGAGCGTCCGCTAGGAGTAGGAGAGTTGGCTAAAGCCGGCGCTCGGGGAGGGGTGAGCGGTGAAGTGTCATCATCTTGCTTGCTGAGGCGGGCGAGTACCCCTGGCGCATGAGAAGGCGCAGGCGCAAGCACAGCAGAAGAGAGCGACCGTTGGCGCACTCCGAGGGGCACGTCATCCGAGGTATCGCTATCGCTATCGATCGCAGAAGACTTTGACGCGTCTGCGGATGCCGAGCCGGGGAAGGCAGCGCTGTGTCGAGCGTAAGCACCAGGGGAGGGCTTGTAGGGCTTCTTCAGTGCACTCTTGAGCGCGGCAGGCTCAGGGTGGGGGAGAGCGAGCGTGCCAAGACTCGCACTGGCCCGCTTTTGTGTGTATAGCTCCCCTGCAACGGCCTCTGGCTCGGTGGAATCCAGGCTTCTTCGCCCGGTTTGCGATACCCGAGGAGTGCTGTAGCCTCTTCCCCATGCCGGTCTCCCGTCTTGCCCCATAGGCACCTGCGTCCATCTTGCGATCCCAGACCCAGAAGCAGAAGCGCCGTCCTTTCCCTCCTTACTGTCCCTGCTGTCCTTACCCTCTTTACCATTCTTCTCCCCCTCCAGCACCCCAAGCAGCGGCACACTCGCCCTCCTAGTCTGCGTCCTCCTCCCTCTCCCCCTCTCCTCCGACCGAGTAATAGTCCTCTCCCTCTCCAACCCCAACCCCCCCTCCCCCTCAGCATCCTCGCTCTCACTCTCACTCTCAGTACTCGTCCCGCTCTCCACGCCCCTCCAACCAGCAGCAAATACCGCGCTCCTGCGTCTCCCCGTGTCGCGCGAGGGACTCGGAGGCGCTTGGCTCTGTGCCTGAGAGCTAGTGTCTTTGGGATAAGCATGAGCAGGCTGGGCCCAGGCTGAGACTCCTTGACGGGGCATCTGGCTCCTAGGCGGCCTAGGGGGCACTCCTTCCCTCTCCTTCTCCCTCTCCCTCTCCCTCTCCCTCTCGCCCTCCCCGTCCCACTCCCGCTCCTTCCCACCCCCAGAAGCAGAAACAGCAGCAAACGCAGCCCACTCCTCCTCCCCTCTCCTTCCCGAAGAAGCCGTCAAGTTGGTACTCGACCTCCTAGCTCTGAACGCGCCTACTGTCATCCGCCCCCCTCCACCTCCACCTCCCCCGCCAACGCCGGCGGCAGCGGATAGAGAATGCGTACTACCCGTTTCGTACGAGCTTCCGCTACCAGAGGAAGTGCGCATCCGCGGGGGAGGGTAAGCATGCAGGCCCAATCCCAATCCCGGTCCCGATCCCGGTACCGAATTCGAGGTCGCTGCTGCCGTCGTGCTGGTGGTGGTCGTCGCAGCAGAGCCAGCAGTAAGACTCCCCGTCCCCGTCCCCATCCCGCTCGCGCCCGATTCATGATGCACAAAAGCGTACACAGCCGCATAAGCCGATATATCCAGTCCTTCGTCCCCCTGCTCTTCCCCCTTCCCCAGCCCTTGGCCCCGATCCAGCAAACCCGGCGTCGAACTCCTGGACTGCAACCCCGGCAGCGTCAAGGGACTCGTGTCGATCCCCGGCAACACCGGCAACGCAGGCAGCATAGGCAACACAGGCAGCACAGGTAGGACGGGCAGGCTCGTGCTCGTAGGGTTAGGGTTTGGCAGGCCGGGAAGGAAGGGCGACTCTCCTGGTGTGAGAGGGCGTACGTGGTGGAACGACTTGAGGGAGAAAGATCCCCCTCCCCCTTCCCTTTCCCCTCCCGCTCCAGTCGCTGTTGCTGATGCTGTTGCTGGTGCCGGGAATGCCGACGCGGATGATGCTGAAGCTTGCGCTCGAGCAGGTGAAGGACCGACAAGTCGCGCTGAAAGCGGATGTCCCGGACTCTCCGCTAGAGGAGCAGGAGCAGCAGGAGGGGGAGGAGGAGGACGTTTCCTAGCCCAATGAAACAACCGTTTCCTTCCCTCTTTCTCCTTCCCCTCCGTCTGCCCACTCTCCGTACGTTCCAGCTCCCCACCTAAATCCGAATCCAACAACGCCCCGTTCCTCCCCCTGTGCCAGCCCCCCTGTTTCCCTACCCTCTTTCTGTCTACTTCTGGACTCGGGGGGGCGGAGACGGATAGGGGGAGGGAGCCGGGTGACCTGAGTGGGGGTCGGTCGGGAGGTGCTAGTAGTGAGCTGGCACTGGGAATGGGAGGGGGAGGGGGAGGGGGAGGGGGAGGGGGAGGGGGAGGGGGAGGGAGGAGATTGAGCGCGCTCCCGAGGCTGGTTGTCGTTCCCCCAGCAGCAGCAATAGCAGCAGTAGTTGTAGTTGTTGTCGACCCGTTCGCGCTAGGATGAGGAGCGCCGTTGCCGTTGACAGTAGGAACAGAAGGCAGCGACTGAGTACTGAGGTTGTCGAACGAGATAGGGGACAGCCTCGGTGGTGGGAGGAGCATCTCCCCTTCTCTTCCCGGTTGGTGTTCTCTCTCTTTCCCCCTGCCCCGATCTCTGTCTCTGTCTCTGTCTTTCTGCCGTTCTCTCTCTCTCTCCCGCTGCTTACGCTCTCTTTCTCGCTTCTGGTCTTCCTCCCGCTGTCGGAGTCTTTCCCTTTCCCTCTCCCGTTCCCGTTCTCGTTCCTGCTCCCCTCGCTCGCCCGACCTGCCCGCAGTCCTCATCCTCAACTCCCTCCTCTCCCTCTCCCCTTCTCTTATTCCGTCATGCCCATTATCACCCGTCCCCGACCTAGGAGTCCCCTGCGTCCCCGGCCCCCCAACCCCAATCGCAGCAGCAGCGAACGCTCTCCGAAACGGGCTCCCAGGGCGCTTTGTCTCCCCGTACAAGACCGGCGGCGGGGGGAGGTCGAGCAACTTCGGAGGAGGAGGACGTTTGCCCGAAGTGGGGTTGGGGAGGGGGATGGAACTGCGCGGGGGGCGGGCGGATGTTGTTGGGGAGGTGGGGTGAGTGTACGCGGTGGCGGACGGGGATGGGAGGTCGGTGCTGTGGACTGAGGGGGACGCTGTGTCTGTCTTGCGTTTGAGGAGATGGAAGAGGGTCATCGTCTCCTCTAGCGTCGTAGGAGGAGGGCGGGGGGAGTCGCTCCGAGGGGGGAGAGAGGTGGGGTGGTGGTGACAGTAAGATACAGGAGAAAGGAGTCGACTGCCAGCGTCCAGTGCGTGTGTGCGTGGCGTGTAAGAGCAATAAGGAAGGAAATGGTCTGATGAGATCCCTTGGTGAAACAGCACACAAGGAGTGAGTGAGTGAGTGAGTGCGCTGTCCACGGGTGAGGGTTACACCGGTATTCGAGGAGTGTGCCCGGTGTTGACGGAGGTGGGAGATGGGGGTATTCTACCGATGAGAGAGTGAAGAGAGTGAGGAAGGGCTGGATGACGCGAGGTAGAGGCAAGATGAGTAGATGTAATGAACTGTTCCCCAGTCTCCCGCTGTACAGGAACAGCTTTGCCACTCTCTTAATTTAGCATTCTTCTCTCTTCTTCTCACACTCGCTAAACGAATCACCATCCCCCGTAGATCATCCGTGCCCCTACAACCCAACAACAGACAATACACGTGAAACGCCACAACCACACAAGCATCCGCACCAATCACTGCACTTCCTCGGCTCATCCCCGGCATCGGCATCGGAACCCGTCTCGGCCGTCGTCATTCCCTCTCACTCAACAATCTCTCCTTACTCCCATTCCAATCCCATTCCTCTGTTTTATCAATTCACTACGACTGTACTGTCCTACTGAGCTGCAATATAATAGGACCATCTCGTCACTGCGGTACGATTTACTGCGATCTGCGACCCACGATCTCTGATCTCTCATACCTGCTCTCTGGAAACACACCTAGTCTAGGATCTGACAAGCTCTAGATCTTACACACCGGTACCGATCCCCCCCACCTACCCTGTGTAATGCTCTTGGCTCCCTTTCTTGTCTTGCTACTGTTGTCTAGTGCCTGCCTGTCGTGTCCTCTCGTTACCTTCCTTGGCTTGTCCTCCCCTGTCCCTGCTACCCGTCTACCCTGGATCTGTCCTCTCCTCTCCTCTCTTGGTTACCTCTGCTAAGCGCCCACCGGGGTTGGCATACCAACTTCCTCCTTCCTCCTTCCCTCCTTCCCTCTTTCCCTCTTTCCCTACCCCCTACCCGATATAGATGGATAATATCAGGGTCCTGCAGGGTATGTATGCTGCATCCTGCATCCTCCCGCCGGCATCTAGGGTAGGCTGCAGACCATCGCCGTTCGCCGCAGAGGATCAAAAGCTTGTTCGACATTGACATTGACGTTGAGGTTGATAGTGATGGTGATGGGTGATCTGAGGTTGACCGTTTACGGCCCGATCGCCGGTGAAACGGGGGGGATCAAGTGACCTCGAGCGAATGAACTCGAGTACGATCGGGCCGTTGGAGAGGCGAATGAACTGGGACCGAAGTTGACTGGGTCTGGCCGGTCGATCCCGGATGTGTGTGAGCAGCACAAGTTCGTGCCGGGAGGGGGACTGACGTGGCAGCAAGGCCTGATGCGGAACAAGATTCGTCGAACGGGCTGGATTTGACAGTCTCACGTTGCGTTGGTTTCACCCTGTGTGTTGAGGATACTGGGGAAATGATACCCGTCGTATCGGACCGGAAGAGCGGGGCTAGTACCGTATCCCTCAACCGCCCAGTTGGATCAAGTCATCCCAGAGCAAAGAACTGGCAACGAAACACGCGGGATGTCCACCTCCAATTGGGTGGACTTAGCTCGACTTGGTCGACTTGGAACGAGCGATTGTTGGAAACGAGACTGTGCGCGAGTCATGCATGCATGACTCGGATCAGGATCGATGTTCGGTTGGTGCGGGCGTTAATCCGAGTTGGGCTGTCATGACTCGAAATAAGGGCGAGTTCGATACTGGGAACAGAGGCGCAAGAGCAGGACGGTTGGATCGTGTTTTCCAGAGCTGGGCAACCCGACTCGAGTTAGTCTGCGTCAATTTCGACACCGGCGGGGCTAGAAACGAGCTACAATGGCAGATCTTAACATGGATCAAGTTACGATTGGGATCAAGATCGAGAGAGGTAGGTGCAGGCGCGGTATTCCCAGTTAGGCTATGCTGATTTACGATTAGGGGCGAGTTGGATACTAGAAGGGACAACCGAGAACCCGAGCAAGCCTGAGATCCAGATCGCCGTTAGCTGACGACGGCCCGTTTGACTCAAGTCATCCCTTTTCAATTTCGACAATGGGATGCGTACGAAAAGCGAGCCCCAATCCCGAACGAACAGGAGCATCTCAGCTCGGGTTACCCCTTCCAACCGCTGGCCTTAGTAGGTAGAGCTAATTCGAGAGCGGCTGGGATGTCGGAACCGCTGCAAGCAGGATCAAGATCGACATCTCCTCGCTTCCGGCCACAAGCATATCCACCATACGCCGTACCCAGGATCCCGATCGACCTCTCCTCGTTCAGGCCGGAAGAGCGTGTCCTGTTTTGGGGAGTTAGAGAGGTAACCGATTTGGATCGAGTCATTCCGACACTGGAGAGCGCCAGCAGGGCGACTAGGTCCAGATCCAGATCGACACCTTGGCCCGAGCAGACAGCGGACAGAGCCTTCGTATCCCTTCTAGCTCAAATCACCATCACCATCAACCCCGGAAGTGACATCCGAATTCGGACCAAGATGGACGTCACATGCGCAAGTCAATCGATCAAGTCGGGATATGCGTAACCGGGTTCAACGTCCAAGAGTACTACTAGAATGCGGTACCGTGCGCAAAACGCACTTTTGCGCACTCCTTTGTCAATGGTGTGCGAACGTTCGTTACCCTTTTTTTTGCGGTCCTTATGCCCTGCATTCCGGTTCCTCGAACCCTGCCTTCCTCCTTCCTCCTTCTGAACCCTCGCTTCCCCCGTCTAAACCCTCTCTTCCCCTCTCTCAGCCTCTCCTCAATATGAGACTCCTCCTCGATGACTGCTCCTACCTTACTAGCGTGCGATCTACCACCCCGCAGAGAACTGCGTCTGCAGGCAGTCTGCATGATCAGCTATCGGGCGCTAGGCAGTTCGGACCGCGCTTGTTGGTAGGTGTCTGTCTCCCCGTGAACGGCCAGACATCAATGCCGGCACAGCTCAAGATAGACAAATAGAAGACGCATGCTCGACTATGAGCGAATAGTCAACAGACGCCCAAGGCCCACAACGTTAACATCGAACGTGTGCCCCCCGGCGGAACGGAAGCGACCAACCCCCGAGCGCTCAGTGGTTTTGCACGGGCTATTCCACTCCCCCGTACCCTCCTTCCCTCTTCCCGCTTGCTTGGCATTAATGTAAATCACTCAACGCCTGAGATCTGGTCATCCTACGTGTTGGGCCGGGACTTGCCGGGCTACTGCGATCTTGTACTTGCTCGGTCTCGCACCTGGTCGATGCGCGATCTGACACTAGTACTGACGCACACGTGCGATCGACAGCTCCCTTCGCCAGGTGCACAATCCCCAGGGAAAACCTCATGCTGCCGCAACTGATCTGCACCTGCGAAAATTTTGGTGAGATGCTATTGATGAGCCGATACGGCCGCTTCCGCCCGATGCAGTGCGGACATATGAAGCATTTAAAGCACACTTTGTGTTTCCCTCCACCTCTTTCTGTTGGCATCATGTCCTCGTCACGAGTCCTTTTTAGCGCCGAACTTTGGAGAACATGTCTGGGGTTCGGCATACGGTCCACCTTGCTATACCCCAACTTGCTGTCCGGCCTCAGACGCGTGTCTTCCCAAATACAAGAGTTGGCTTCGCCATTGGTTGTTGCTTAAATGATATAAACGCTCAGATATATCCTTGACTATTTGGTTCCAGATCTGAAGCGTTCAGTCGTCAGAAACAGCGCTGACCCTGGACCGTGGAATGACATCCGCGTCCTGCTATGTTCTCAGGGCGGTCAAAGGTATATCTCTCTGTAGAAGTCCACCTGAATCTAGGCTCTAAAGGACGAGCCTGTGTAACCAGCTCCAACTCTGTGCGCCAGCACGGTGATATCTGAGGCCTACCAGAGACTTATAGAGCAAGAGCCATAATCGAGGCCAAAGATAGGAGAAGATCATGGCACACTGTGAACTTAACGTATTAGCTGAATGAGGTTATTGTACAGATCCCTGTGAACAAGTCGTGCTACCCAATGAACGGTGCAAACTCTATGCCCAAACATACATGCCTTTCATCTACCCTCGAACATTTCCCATGCCAAATCCCGCTCCAGGCTCTCCCAGTCCACAACACTATTCGCGTATACACTCTCGTACGATGCAATACTGACATGGGAGAAAAATGGTTGCAAATCACGGATGCTCACGATCTTCTCAATATTTTGCAGCATAGGCTTGCGGAATATGGGAGAGGCGGAAAAGACAGGCTCGGAAGTGGTGCCGCTGCGTTTTCCATTTGTGTCGTCTTTGCCATTTACGCCTCGCTGTAAGCTCTGTTAACAACAAATGAACGGTAATCGGATAGACGGTTTTACCTTGTGTGCGGGCAGGTTACACACAACTTCTGCTAACTGATCTATGAGGGACTGTGGCTGCCAACCATCAGGCCGGTAGATGGCATCGACGGTATCCGTGACGAACATCCATTGATGTCTGTGATTGTATTAGCTATGAAACTCAGAGGATGATACTCACGTACATCTGGAACTCCTCTGTTTGCAATACGAGAAGAAGATCCAGGAATTTGCAGGCGGCGAGAAGCACAGCGAGATCGTCCGAGTTATCGGCTGGTGGCTCAAGGATGACGTCCTCAAACAGTCGAACCTAGCCAAATATATCAGCGAAATTATCTCGTAGTAGCAGCAAGGATCGTACAAGTTCAGCCAATATGATCGGCCAGAAGGTTGAGATATTATTAGGGGAGAACCGACAGAGAATGGCTCTCATGCATAAATAGATCTTGGATAAGTCAGTTGCGTCCCGTACAACAGACATAATAGAAATACCTCAGCATGCACGGATGGTGGGTTATTGCTGCCCCTGAGAATCTCAACGACTTTCTCTTGCATGCCTGGGAGCTGCATGTGAAATTGATCTCGTTCGCCACAGAAGAGGATATATGTCATCCGACGAATAGTCATGCAACGCAGGAGCGACTCCATGTCTTTGCTGGTAAAAATCGTAGCGGATGGTGCCAATCCCACTTGTCCTGTATAGTTCATCAGACATCACTTCTAGGAGAGAAGTTGCACTCACGAATGATCTCCAAAAGCCTGTCCTTATCTGACTCCATGAGCGATCCTATCAAGACTTTCCATCGTATACCCGATTCTGGCTTGCTTGTGAAGAAACGAGAATCCGCAAAGATCTCCCCAACAGCAGGTCTCCAGGCTTTTGCGGCGGCTGGAATTTTGGACAATTCGGTAAGAAGCAAGAGAGTGATATCTGGCACATCCAGGGACCTGCCTTCGCGTTAACTCATTTTCCGTTATTGAAATAGCGCACTGACCCAGCCTTCGCCTTCAAGGCCGGCGTAGTTAAATAGTAGCCGATATTACTACACACTCCCCCAATGCGGTCTGGATCGTTAAGGAAACGGCGAAGATTTGGCAAGATGCGCTTTGCAAGAAACTGCTCGATCTGGCCACGATTCAGTTTACTACTGCGACAACTTCTAAGAGAATTACCTGGCTGACAAAATCATTCCCTGACACTGAACGAGCCGAGTCCAGAGGAGATGGAGTATCTGGCTTCTCAGCGAGAGAAAGTTCCGATTGGGCTGGCGAAAGCATGTCAGCATCACGAGTTAAAAGGCACCTCTCTGCACACTTTTACCCAATCCATCGACACTAAGTGTACTTCGACGCATCCAATTCCCCTGTTCAAAGGAACGACCGGCTATGAGAACGCAGTTATCTAGAAGCTTCACGTATACATCCTGCCATATCTCAGCGCATGTCCGATTGATCAATGAAGAGGCATACCAAGAAATCTCTTCTCATCCTTTTCTCATCCAGGGCGGTGCTCTGTGCCAACCTTTCCGCTAGAACAGTCAAGCATCTGAATATAAACTCAGCATATGCAGGGAATTATCAACGGGGGCCATAACGTACCGCAACACAGGGAATACCTGTTGACGATAGCCATGCATATTCGTTGTCACGTCTTTCGCCAGAGACAAAGTACGAGCCCAAACTTGGACGGCAATAGGACCTTCCAATTTGCTGAAATACTCTTCCAGAAAGGCGAGCAAGGTCGCATCAGACCTGTGAACCCATTGAGAACAGCCCAAAGGGTAGACCACAACTCACAGATAAGGGTTCATCGCATATTTTTTAGGTCGATCTGCCTGCACAGGTGTTCGTGCCAGAGCGCTCTCGCACACCATATGGACGACCGTCTGAGCACTTGATGTGAGGGAGTCCACCATCTCGAAGGTAATTGAATTGATAGTATCACGTCCCTGCACTCGGCATGTCAGAAACCTTAGGCCGGAGCAGAGACCAACGAACAAGGGTGGGCTCTGTGTCTCGATGCCAAAGCTCAATGATCGACTCGAATACCTCCGTCGGCTGGGCTTTCCAAAGTCTCTCTAAAACTTTGCGTGATCTTGATTTTGTCCGGCTATAGACGCTGTCAAGAGCAGTGAATGTGGCGCGATCTTCCGAGCCTTGCCAGACTTGCATAGTGGAAGCTGTGAAAAGAACTCGAACTGCATCGTGAAGGCTTCGATAGCCTGGGGAGCGGGCCTACTCCAGCCATCAGTGATGGGTTTCACCATATCCCCAACAATCTCACCGAAAGAGACTCGTCTGAGTTGCTGCCACTCGAATCGGCTCCAAAAACGCCAGAGACGTATCCAAGCAGGCCCCCACCCTCACCGGTCCTCTCACCAACCTCGTCTTCGCTTGTACGAACATCAGACGCTCGAGACAGACTCATCAAGACTAGACGCTCAAGAGCATTAAGTAGAATCACAAATTCGGCATCGTTAGTGGTGGTTGATAGGTTGCCTTTGCCTTTCACATCCTTCGTCGTCGCTCGATGTATGTCATGGAGAGCGTTTCGCAGCTGCTGTGACACACATTGGCAAAGGGGCACGACCAGAAGCTGCATCGAGTCCAAGAATTGAGGTATCGTCATTAACACGAAGTCAATCCAATGCTGCAAAATAGGTCGATTCGAGGCACGCGAGACACCGTCTAGCAACGTCTGGATTAGAAGGGCTAACAGCTTGTCTGATGTCGGTCCTTTATCTTTATCTTTATCTTCAATTGGTGTTTCCGTTACTTTCGAAGGGCTGGGTGATCCACGTAAAAGAGGCGCAGTTGCCAGAATAATGCTGTGCAAAATGTGGAGCAACTTGTTCTGTAGGTCCAGCCGTGCCGTATGGATCGAGCTGTACAGCTTCGAAACCACGTTCTGCTGAAGCGACAAAAGCGATGCCTTCTCGATCTCGCCTCTGGATACGATTAGTTGAAGAATGTCGATTGCGGTCGACTGGATGCGCGTGTTGGTAGGTGTCATGGCACGTTTGAGTGGCGGAGATGGTTCACTTTGCAAGAACCTGAAACGAGCATCAGAAACAGGTCTAATGGTCAAGAGCAAAATAGTGTACCGAGTGAGGACATCGATGAGAAGATCAAGGTAGTTGGTGGCTTTGCGTCTGGCTTGACCTGAATTGGTTTAGTTGCGTCCCGTCAAAAAAAAAGACTAGCTTACTACTCTCCGAGGCTAAAAACCCAGGTAAAGCGCTGGTCTTCACGGACTTTCCGAAGCCTTGACCACCAAATCTGACCAAAGACAAGAGGTTCTCAAGGAGATAAAGAATTCTGGTCTGATCTGTCAGACGCTCGTATTCGAATTCTTGAACTTGGACTCCTTGATAAGAGAAGACACGGGGCATTCCGCTGTATGCTGGAGCCATAAGATCATGGAGTACAGGATCGAGGATGCTATGAAAGGTTCAGAAAGTTTCTCTTTGGTAGTTCACAACGCAGGCTATACCGATGATAAGATTTGAGACTGCAGCGCATCCACGTTTCTGCAATGCGGCGGAAGTGAGGATCTTCACTTTTGAGACCATCTAAAACGAGCAGCATTGGGGCTTTCAGTCGGAATCCCGGCATGCGCGAATCATCTGATGCGACGTCAGTAAAAAGAAAGGGAGAACTAATGTGCATACCGGTCAGTCGCCATAGAATCCCAAACGCCTCATACATCTCACTCCTCTGCTCTATCGTTCCGGCAGTCAGACCTTGGCAGATGACAGCTTCTACGTGATGATGACCAGCGATAGAATCGACCGCCCAGATAAGCTCAGATGCCCGGGTATGACAAGGTGCTCGGTGAACCTCAAGATAATGAAGGAGCTGCGTGACAATTGACACCACGCACGGGCGGCTGTCGAGTTCGAGTTCTGGCATAATATTGGATTTGGCCAAGGTAACACTTAAAGTCACCAGGCCATCAACGAGATAGAATGTCGAAGACTTGGTAATTGATCAGTCTGTTACAACTGGAGAAGCATATCTGACACACCTGAGCAAAAGCATCAAACAGCGCCTGGAACCAAAGCGACGGCTGCCAATCAATCGACAAGCTGTCGGTCTGCAGGATATCGGTCATATGTTGGAGCAACGAGATGGCTGCGCCGATATTGTCACGCATGCCTGGATGTTGCACCAGTTTCTCAGCGTAACTCTGGCTCAGGAACAGGAGATCCTGAAATGCAGATTTGAAAGGCGACGAAGCTATAAGCGACGGCCTAGCCTCGGGCATGCCAGCGTAGGAGTATGTTGTGTATGCCTTCGAGAGGGCGGACGTGGCGTTGTTGGCGGGTGTGCTGGTCGTTTTTGGCCAAACAAACAGAGTCTCTTTCGGCATTTCGTCTAAAAGCGCTGCAGCAAGCGTGAGAAGTGACCTAGTAACGGCAAGATATTCGTTTGGCTCTTCACTCTCCGCAAGTATCTAAAAGAATATCAGCACGGTAACATCGTTATAAAGTGTTGGATCTTACCCTTGCGAGTTGACCGGCGGCGGCGAAGAACAATGGGAGGTGAACCTGCTCGATCTCCTCATCCCGAACGTGGAAAGTTGACAGTATGAACTGCAGCATATCGATCGCCTGGAAGAATATAAGCGCCTCGACTCAACACTTCAAGCACAGACAGCGCACTGGGCAGGCTTGCCGATTGGCACCAACGTCCTCCATGGCAGCCTGAAAGAGCCGTGCCCATACAATCGACGGTTCCATGGCCTCGTACAGGGTGTTTGCAGTAAGAAGCACATCACTATCCTCCCCTTTATCGGACTCGATTGCGTTCTTAAGTCCACTGAGCGCATCGAGGCATAAGCGTTCGGTCAGGGGAATCCCAATTTCGGATTTGTCAAGAAGGGATATGAAAATCTTGTATGGACGTGTCTCCCGTTCACCGGTCACGCTGTCGCGCATGTCACTCTGCTACATGTCAGTGGCTCGTTTATCAGATAGGTTAGATACATCGTACCTTGAGCGTCTCCTCCAGCAAGCCGAGCGCACCCCGACAGAAATACGCCACCTGTGCCTCGCTCGTCTCGCTGGGACCGAGCAACCACGCGTAGAGACGTCTATTGAGGGACAAATCCCGCCGAAGAACGACGCTGACTGTAGCTCGCATGAGCATCACCCGATCCACAGGTGCACATTTCTTCAGTGCGAGACTGTCCACAGGCAGGGACTGGACGAGGATATCCATGATCCCTCTTCGCACCAGTAGGTTGTCGTCCTCAAGGGAAGCAGCGAATGCGCGTACCATCAGACCAAGATCGTTTCCTACAATTGGAGTGATGTCCTCGTCTGCCGTGAGCTTGGGTAATCGACGGGACAGGTAGTTGATTGCGGACGACCGAGCGTTTGGCGTCGTCAGGAGCACCAGCCAAAGGTTTTGCAGAAAGAATGCCGGGGAGACGGTGCCAGACAGTCGATCGAGGAGATTCAGAACTTTATCGAAAAACTCGCTCGTCTCCTCCTCCAAACCAGGCAGTAGAGCGAGAATGAACGCCTTCATCACCGGTCGCAGCCTGCCTTGCAGTGGCAGGTAGTGAGTGTCGTAGATATTGAGCAATGTTGGCCTGACGGAGGTTGCAGCTGACTGGAAGAACGGGAACAGCCCAGAGGACCATATCTGGAGATCTCGTGCGAGTCCATCATGCTGCAGGTGCCCCTCAGTGTGTCTCAAGACAGGGCGGTTGTCTTTAACGCACCCCGAGCACGGCCAAAATATGCGCATATACATCCAATGCTCTCTGATGCACTCCACTTGGAAGGGCCGGATTCAAGCACTGAGCAAGTCTTTTCGCCACAGTGAGCTTTCTCGGTATCTCCTTGAACTGCATGAAAGATTGAAAGGTCTATGCCGGACGAGTGAGGGAAAGACAGCAAGCACTAATCAACCAACCGTACCTTCAGCAACTTGGTTAGAAAGCTGATAAAATCCGCCCATTCATTGATCGTCTCGAATGTAGCAAGGCACTTGTCGACTTGCTGAGCATAGCGCCGATACTTAGGGTCGGACGTGAGCGCAGGATCTGCATGTAATCAGCATAGGGAGGTAGAACAATAATTATGCTCAACACACCTCGCTCTTCAAGCCTACTGAGTGGGGTGCCGGGACGCGGTGTTGTCGGAGTGCTCCCCTCACCAGCACTGGATGCGAACATGGCGAACGGAAGGAGAGGGGGGTATATGCGCAACCCGTGTGCGACACGGTTTCGCTAGTTGGTTGTCGACTTCGAAATCAGATATCAATCTACAAGCAAACAGGATACAGCAGCAGAGCAATGGCAAGGAAAAGTGCGCGAATCCGACCTCAGCGACTTGACACGGCGTTGCCGTTCCTGGCAGTGACGAGAACACAGACAGGACCGCCACAGGGTCGGTGATCCACGCGACAGCAAGTGGCAGTGCTTTCAGAGGCATGTGCCACGTCATAAATCCCACGAATTTCAGTTGCAAGGCTATTTATCTGCACAACAACCAACCCTTTGAAAGAAGCATACGTCATGCATTCTAGCAGTTGAGTCAAGACAGAGGGTTTCACGTATTTTGAGAGGAACGCAGGAAGTTTCTGCTTCGGATCTCAAACAAAGTTTTGACACTACATACTAGTCTAAGCATCCGAACTCCTCCCATGTCATTTCTGTTCCCGGATTTGCATCTATCGCGGGGGTCGCATTCAGCAGCTTCAATCGTCGTCCAGAGCCAACCGCGCTACTTCAAAATTTCGCAATCGCTCAGTACCGTAGCGGGTGTGTACCCAGCCAACGAAATGGAAGACGGTGCACACCTTGGCACCCAGATCTCGGATCCACCCAAATGCGACGAAACAGCGAGAAGGACAACGCAAAATGATGAGTTGCCGACGTGGCCAGAGACCGCAAGATGAGAACAGTGGGAGAACAGAGGTGAGACGAGCTTCCGGTCAGTGCAGAACAGCGCTTGAATATGCAACGCGTCAGCCAAGGAAGGCAGCTGCTCATCGATGATGCGCACCTTCTCATAGGAACGCTCCAGCGATCGATCGCCCTCATCGTCTCAGGGATCATTTCATATGCTAGGCACCGCTAGACGAGGCCGACTATTTGCAGAGACATTCCTGAGCGCTCCAGCTGCTTCTTTGTCGCACTCTAACCTGAGTTTCTGTGTCCCGCATAACATCGGAGGTGAGAAAGACACAGTGTGATCATGTAGGCATTTGGCAAACTTCTCTGCAATGTCTGACAATTTTGGAGCACTTTCATGTGGTCAATGCGATTGAACTGGTGTTGTGATAGTTGCTGATATTGAGTTGATTATCGTCGGTCAGAGTATTCAGGCATGCGTGGGGTGGGGGGAAGCGCTAGTGCCTGCATGCATTCGGCAACCTGGTAACAGAACAAGCACCGCGTTTTACGGGTCCATTTGCTGACCCAAGGCAGATGAGTAAAGCTAGCCTTTATCGGGCTAAAGCAGCATTCCTTACCTTTAATCAATATAGGAAGGTCAAACCAACTTTTTCTATCTCAATATAGGTAGCCTTTTTTGAGAGATATAAACCATGTGCCCTGTATTGACTCAATAAAGATATTATTTTCTCTGTGCAGCCATGCTGGTCCATGTTTCTTTTCCCACCCTAGCACCAGTCATCTTTGATCATCATGTGGAACTCCATTTATAATTATATAAAATATAATATTTGCACTTTTTCCTCATATGAGAAAAAAGCACATGAAAAAACCTACATCTGAATCATCCCTTAAGCTTGTCAGTTTTGCAGCAGATCACCCTCCCATTCTGCATGATCTGCTCCATGCTCCCATGGAACCATGGGCTATTGACCCCAGCCTCACTCCTGATTGTCACCCCAACCCCAGTCTCCTCATCACCATGGCTCTTGTAAGTGATTTGAATGAGCTCCTGCAGGGGTATGACCTGCAAAGCTGCGAGCCTGACCAGCTAGTGAAGGGCAACAGGATATGGAGGATCCACACATCTTTGAGAACTTGTCCTGCATTGATTAGGTGAGTTGAACCATCTTGGCCAGTACAACTACACAACTCACCAGATCAACTTCCCTTTCCTCTAGTAGTGCCTGCCCACCTATCACCTGTGTCCATGACAAAGGGCCCAGCCTCAACTCTCCTTCATCAATGCCTTTCTCCATTCCCGAAACTCAGCTTGCTCCTCCACTTGATCAAGCCATACTAGATGCTCCTGCCTCACTCCCACCCACAGATATCACCAATGCTAGAGAACCTGCAGATGCTCAGGGTGACACATTGGGTGTATCAAATGGTCAGAAGAAGAGACCTGCAATGAAAACTTCTCTTAAGGATGACTGCAACCCTCCCAAATGCTCAAAGAGGTGGGTCACTCAGGAGGACCCAAAGAGATTGGATGAGACTGTTAGGGCAACACAGGCTGACTAAGTCTGCTCACCTAAGAGTGCCAAGAGTCTAAGCAGGCAACAAGGAAGTGGAGTAGACCTGATGACTAAGACCTATCTACAGTATAGGTACCTGTGGATGATCCTAAGAGACCAAGTCTGAAGAGACAGTCCCCAGGCAGAGTAGGCCTTATATTTATACCTCTGTGGTGGAACCTGCTAGAACATCTTGCTTACTCAGCCTAGTCAGGTGATCAGGTCATATGACCAAGGATGAGGTCATATGAGGTCATGCACAGCCATGCACAGCAGGTCACCTGACCATCCAATCCTTCCAGCAGGTTCCAGCACATGCCAAGGTATACCAGCTACTTCCATGTCATAAAGGCTTAGTCATGTCTCTTGACCAAGCAATGAGCTGGTGCCCTGACAGCAGGTTGGGCATGAGCAGAGTGTGCCCAACTCTCCAATGCATTTGTCAGCAACTTCTTGAGGTGCCTGAATCTCTTCCTCCATAGAGTCAATAGCATAGGTGGCCCACTCATATGTGTGGTCCATATGATCTTCCTCCTGCAAACCTTGACCCACAGGTAGATCATTTATTGGACCAACAGCTTGGCTGGAGTGCAAAACCACTCAACTGGCTCATGCTGCAACTAC